AATACATACAAGTACAGTACAGTATTTTCTGAGGAAACACTCGTACTTATTTTTTTTAACCCCATTCCCGATAACCCGGCATTTTCACAAACTCGGCCACCCTTCGGTCCACATTAGGCCGAGTTTTCGAGGTTCTACTGTACCAGAAACTCTTTTATTATACAATTATTATTGCATTAGTGTATTCTCTATTTTTAATAAAAATTTTAAGTGACATTATTTAAGATCTCTTTAGAAGCAACTTATTTAAATGGGGTACCAATTTAAATTTTGTCTAGGGTCTGCTAGAGGCTTAATCCGGCACTGTCCCATCGGTAGATATCGCATTGCGCAAAACGAATAAACCACTAACAAGACCAAATTATGTAATAGAAGCAATAATAGTCATAACTCGCAACCAATAGAAGAGCAGTGGAAAAATTAATTAGTTAAATTAGTAAAAAAGTATTGCTCCAAGTAAAAACTTCGGCACTCGAAATGAAAGTCAAATTTTTTCTTGGGAGTTTCTCTCTAGTAAAGATAAACTTGGAGCTTGAAAGCGTTGCCGTAAGCTTTTCATTATTGTCTCAGCTTTCTTACTTTAGTAATATGGCAAATCTTTTGAAAATCAATTTCAAAGACATTCGTTTTTCTCACACATTGAAATTCAACCGGAAGGTTGAGCGGTAGCGTTTAGGACTGCCTCCGTGAAGAATCCAGAATCGAATCCAGTTCGAGACTCCTTCCAATTTTCCACGTAGTATCCACCGGTGCAGCGTTCGTTCTACACTCATGCTCCACCACTGGCTTAAGAGGATTTGATCCCTACATACCGATAGTCGACTCGGGCTGACGGTCTGACTCGTAAAGTTAATAAAGCTAATTTTCTGAACGTATGTAACAGGTTACTTGCGATACGCTTAACATTTTGGTGTGAAATGCTCTTTATAGATTTATATTTTTGATGTCTAAATTTATCGAAGTGTCCGTTTTCTAAGAAATTTCTTTAGATACTAATTAAAAAGTAATTTTCGTACTTCACATTTTATCAACAGTAGAAATTGAGGTCAGAGTGGAAAGAATTTTATTGACACTGACTCCACAACACCGGTTCAAGCCCATGACTAGGGATTGCAATCCAGCAGTGTTTTTAATCCAGCTGGATTTTTGCTGGACCAACATCATTCCAGCTGAAATGATGCGCGGATGTTTTTTGGTGCAATAAAGTGTTATCTATCTATCTATCCAAAATTTATGGGTTTTTTAAAAGAAATAAAACATTTTTTTAAATACTTAAGAAACTTTTATTATTTAGACTGGTGACACTTCTTACACATTTAGGCAGTAAACTTAACTTTGGTTCCATTTAACACTTGAGATAGAGATAATTAACTTTCAATGTTTAGTTAGATTATAATTATAATGTAATCTTTAAGTTAAATAATAGCAAAGGTAATTCTACTAATTAATTTATATTACATTATTATAATATAATATATTAAGGATGGATAATCAATGGCTAAGTGGCTATCAGTCTTACCAGTTTTCTTATATAGGCTCTACATATCAGTCTGTGGTTATTTATAAATAATTTAATTATTGTTAGTAAAGTAGTGAGTAAGTAATTAGTAGTAGTCTAGTACTTAGTTATTATTATCACAATCATGAATCACATACATTCATATCATCATATATCTAAGATACTGATACTCATTAATTTAATTAACTATTTAACTAACTAGGTAGTCTCAGTTTCTTACTAATTTTCACAATAAAATTGCCTAGCCTAGCCCACTAACCACTTATAGAATAAAAGTTAAATACTCTTACTTAATAGAATTAGAGTAGAAGTTATAAAATATTAGTCTTGTCTTGAATAAAGTATTTTAAAGGATTAAAATAAAATTAAATCAATCACTTCAGTTTTTTTTTGACTTTTCTAAAAGTAGGATCTCAAGAAACAAATGGTATTGATGGTGTTGTCTCCCAACCTACTTCTTAATGAACTGCATGTATATCCCTCCCTATATAAGGCCTTTTCTGCCTCTATGCTAGTTGGTTTCAGTGTCATCAAATAATGATAAATCAAAGATAAGTTTTCACCTCTTACTCCCTCACTTTCATAAACAGCCATTTCCTTTTTTAATAACTTATCATAATCCTTCTCAGTACTAATTTCTTTCCGTTTCATGAAGTTTTCTTTCTCACGCTTTAGTTGCATCTCTAATTCTTGTTCCAATGTGAAATTCGGGAAATCCGGGTTATCTGGATCATCGTTTTCCACCTCCGTAATATCCTCTGCCATTGCTGCTGGTTCCACTACATATGTATTTACATGATTCAGCATATTTATCATTACATTTTTTTTCGGCATGTGACAGATAAAGCTTTCTAACTTTTTGGTCATACTTCTTCGGGTTCTTTATGTAAATCAGCATCCCTGTGACCTCGGTAAGACGCCGTTCTCTGATTATTTTGCGGAGTGCCTCAGAAAGGTTGGCACTTAAGATTGTGTCCTGGCTTTTTAGTTTGTCTAAGACAAATTTCAGGGTTGTGGCAGCAGTTATCAAACTCGACTCTTCTGCAGAGAGCTTCTACGGCCAGTTTAAACTCTGATCGTTCCATCATGTGATTCATTGACGTAACAACCGACCGTAAATTAGAATTATGCACCAGGACTAGGATAGGAGTTACTTATTTTATTTAGCACGAAGACACTTTATTTAGCGAGAGCAGAAAGTCAACTGGCAATTAGATCAGCAGAGGTAAAAGGGCGGGCTGTGCGGTGTAGAGAGGGGGTGTAGCACGTGCCGCACTGAACGGCAACGTCGCTCTCACCGCCGAGCGATAGCGCATATAGCAAAGGGCAAGGCCAACAACGTAAACTTTTGCACCATTATTTAGAAAGTTAATTGAGTATTTGCGGATCTGCAGTGCTGGATCCAACAGTCTGAAAAATGTGATGGATCCAGCAATTGCAATCCCTAGTCACATATCATTACATGCGTCTTTTATCATTTTAGTGGTGTTATATATATATAAAAAAATTATAATCATTTTCTGTGTTGTCTTGCATAGTTAAATGTTCATTTCTGATATTCATCCATTTAAAACGTGCACTACAATTCCAATAGGAATTATCGAATGGTGAATAAGAGCTGTGCCAGGAATAAAGTACTGAGTTTTTACCTGGTCATAATTCTTTTAATTTGCTAGAATTGTATAATGGATCCCAAAAACTGAAAGGTGTATCATAGGGAAAATAATGTGTGTATGTAGGAAGGTTGTAATTGTTTGATTCTGCAGACAATTAGTCCAGAATCCTGAGTTTTACTCCTCCATGTACTGTACATCGTGTATTATTCTGTGTCTGCTAAGCTATAAAACAGACTACTTTTTTGTGTACCTATATGTTTAGATATATAAATACAGTACTTACCATTGTGTTACAATTGGATTAGATATAACTGTTATTAGTAATAGACTATACCAATTAAAGTTTGTCTTTAAGATGTTCGCTTAACAATGCATTTCTCTGAACATATTCCCATTGTTAAGCAGCACATACTACATTAGCATTTTTAACACAGGCATAAGAATTTATTTGATGAAAATGAAACTTTTTAAAATTTAAAATAATTAATAAAATTCAAATAATAGCTCATGTTTTTATTTAATAAATCACATTTATTAAAAACTAACAAATCACTAATTGTTTTTACACTTAACTAAAATATGAAAATTTTATAAAACACTGATGGAATTTAGCAAGATTAAACATTTTTGAGATACTTCAATATATTGAAAGCAAACAATGTTAACAAAAACAATTGACAATAAAATGGTAATTATGAAATTCCCAATTTATTTAAATTTTCTACAAATCAATAATCCACAAGATATTAACTCCTGATGGACCAAGATTCACTCGCCTTAAAAAGAATGAAAATAATTTGTCAAGTTTTAAATTTATGAAAGCATTATGTTAATATAAATAACATTCTTATTTAATGTTATATATGTTCTTTATACAAAAATAAATAATTTACTTACCCTAACATACCACACAGTTCAGTTTTCACATGAAGAAGAAAAAACAATATTGCAAAAAACATATTATTTCGACCCTAAACAAAATAGAACAATTAATATATTTTTAAAGCTAAACAAAATATATAAGTTCTCAAGTATTTAGAACAAACTTTAGCAAAATCCCATGTTTCTTCTCCAATAACTACTCTGTAATGTGGTGGGATAACTCTGGATTGGTAAATACATAAAGTATCCTTGTTTATATCCACTAAAATGAAATATTTTTATTAACATTGAATATTAATCCATATTTAAAAACTTTTAATGGAAATGAAAGATAAATTTTAAAGATATATCTCAAAGCCCAATATTTTATAATAAGCCAAACAATTACTGAATTAGTAATGGTAAAGTAGCCCAATTAATTTGGCAATTGTTTGGATACATTTTAAAACAAAATTTGAAAAAGCATGCACAGTACACTCCTGCTGTATATTGGCTTGCTTTAAAACTCCTGCTTATAAAAATACAAGCCCTCACTTAATATTGTTGACAGGTTCTTAGAAATTGCAATGTTAAGTGAAATGACATACAAAGAAACCAATTTTACCATAGACTAATTGGCATAATCAAGATATAATTCAGTTATTATTATTCTTACTGGATTGTGCTTGAAATGTCCAGCATTTATTTTTCATCTCACAGGATCAATTTTACTGTTTATAAAGAAAATTCAACAATAATAATTATAAACAATTACAAATGTACTGTCTTTCCTCAATGAATATAAGTGAGGACTTCTTAAATATGTATAAAGTAGTTGAAAAACTACTATATTTAATGTTTACTATAACTGAATGACAAGGTATATACATCTTATTAAAATATCATTTAAATCAGCCTTTAAGTTTTTGAATACTTGAGAATTATAATGTAATGAATATAATTGCCCTCAACTATCTTCCTCAATCTTACTTCAAAGTTTGATATTACATTTTGAAGAATATCTCTTGAAACAATGAAAATGTAAAACTCAATAAATGATGGAAGTTCTTTCAAAGTCTTTGATTTGGTTCACTCTATTCTTGGGATATTTCAAGGATTCAGTTGGAAAATATGAAAAACCTCAATTCTCTTCCACGGTGCTTTTCATGATGCAAAAAATTGCTGAAATTGAGATCAAACATATTGAATATATTGTTATATAAATGAATGATGCTAAATAAATGCTGATTTAAATGATGTTTGAGTATAATAACCCTTCTTCAAATGTAATAAAGCATTAAACTCAGTAGGTACTTTTGGATGTTGTAAATTTTCTATTATGACTTTTCTAATTAGCCAATTTGGTATGATATTGCATAACTGATCATTTATTTCCAGGAGTGTAATCTTGTTTTGTGGCATTGAATCTATGGTAAACCGAATCTGATTTATGATGGCTTACTTAATGATAGTTTTCCAAGAATCACGCAAGTCTTAACTGTGCTTTCTAGTAACTTGTTAAAAAATAAAACACCCACACATATATATATATGTTACCGCTAAAGCTCGAAAGCCATTAATGTGTACATTGTCTAGCTAATCTCCAGATTAACTAGGGTGATCCGTTAAAGTTCCGAAAATTGTTTCCTTTCTCAAGTTACCTAGGTAATATGCAGATGATCTAGGTAATCTGCACATTACCTACTAGGCACTCGGTAAACTGAAAATAAGATCTTTGCTGGAACAACAGCAACGTTTCTGTACGCTTAAATTAACATAATGTTATTTATTTAATTTTCAATATCTAAAGAATGAAGTTAATAGAATCAAACAATCAGTTGATAGAATCAATCATCAATCAATTAAAAAACTGTAATACAAAAAGCAAATGGTTTAAAATATTATTACAATTACGGAAATGAATTTGCAAAACATATGATAAAATTGTGCTTACTTATTAGTGCAATCTAAAGATTGGCGACACTTTGAATTACATAGCAATTGGTTTTCGCAACAAGCACACCTATTTGTAGTACACTTAGATTTTCAGTCACATTTTCTGAAACCCTGCCCAGTCAGTACCAAGGGATTGTTTTATTGCTATTTGACATAAACATATTTCTACAGCAGGGACATCTTCTGTCGTTAAAAATCTCTCTTCGCAAACACTGAATTCAGATTTTGCATACAATTGTTTTAAAATACCCGTTTTAGTACCAAGTTTATAAAAGCCATCCTCTGTTTTACTAAGAACCACAGCTAAAATTGAGCGTGCATCAGTTTTTGCTCTGTCTTGTTCGGGAAGTAGTAGGGAAAGAAAATGAGAGAAACAAACTTTTGAACTTTAACAATATGGAAACCGTTAATGTGCGGATTACCTAGGTTAAATGCGGAAAACTCTTGATTCCGCACGTTAACGGATCACCCTAGTTAATCTGGAGATTAGCTAGGTAATGTACATGTTACCACTAAAGCTCGAAATCCGTTAATGTGTATATTACCTAGCTAATCTGCGGATTAACTAGGGTGATCCGTTAAAGCTGCGAAAATTGTTCAATTTCTCAAATTACCTAGGTAATTTGCAGAGTATCTAGGTAATCTGCACATTAACGGCTTCCGTATCGTTAAAGTTCAAAAGTTTGTTTCTTTCACTTCCTTTCCCCACTCCTTCTTTTTACGTAGATAAATTTAAATCCTAGAATGCAAGCAAGCACCGAATTGGTGAGTAAAATCAAGAAAAGATTCTTCGCAAACCTCTTTAGCGAAGATTTAAAATATAATACGTAGTGTTTTAATAACAAACCAAAGTATGATTCCATAATTGAAGATGTAAAGCAAATAAAAGTTTCCAAGAAGAAAGAATCATCTCGAGATTATCAAATAATTCAAAGGTGTGATGTGTTGACTGTACGAGGCTGTGAAAAACTCATTGAGCCGTTGTCAGATGCGCGAGAAAGGTTTGAAAAAGTTTGTCCATGCCGGAGAATTGTTTGACATTCGATAAAAACTGAAGAAGACCTTGAAAAATTAGAAGATTCACAAGAGACTGTGATTATGAGATCACAGTCAAATCTTACTCAAGAGGACATTCCGTTATCCCCCGCTTCTACAGAATCACCTATAGAAATACAAGAATTTACCGATAGTAATCTTAAACTGCCTTCTATACCGTTGATTGATGATGCAGTCACGAAGAATATTCAGTTACCCTGCACCTCCAAGGAATCGCCTCTGCAAGTTGAAGAAGTCATCACTGAGTTACTCTCAACTTCAGCAGAATCGCCATCACAGTTTCGTACGGAGCCTGTAAAGAGCACTATACAAGACATAGTCTGTATTGTTTGCTCAAAAGCAGCATCAAGTGCTCACAAGTGTAAATCGTGTAATATGTTTGTTCACGCAGTTTGTGGTGAAGTAGATCCTAAAGAGGAAGGGTATGGTAAGAATGTATTGTGCATCATCTGTAAAAAGAATATGGATCAGAAAATACAGCGTGATGAAGCCAAGAAATGTTTAGAAAAGCAAGCAAAGAAAATGTTAGCAGTTTCTAATGCAAAGCACCCAAACGTCGATGAAGGTTTCGCTGTGAGAATTAAAGTACCCGAAGAAGACAGAGCAAAAACTGATGCACGTTCAATTTTAGCTGTGGTTCTTAGTAAAACAGAGGATGGCTTTTATAAACTTGATACTAAAACAGGTATTTTAAAACAATTGTATGCAAAATCTGAATTCAGTGTTTGCAAAGAGAGATTTTTAACGAAAGAAGATGGATGTCCCTGCTGTAGAAATATCTTTACGTCAAACAGCAATAAAACAATCCCTTGGTACTGGGCAGGGTTTCAGAAAATGTGACTGCAAATCTAAATGTACCACAAATAGGCGTGCTTGTCGCAAAAACCAATTGCTACGTAATTCAAAGTGTCACCAATCTTTAGATTGCACTAATAAGTAAGTACAATTTTATCATATGTTTTGCAAATTCATTTCCCTAATTGTAGTAATATTTTAAACCGTTTGATTTTTGTATTAAAGTTTTTTTAATTGATTGATGATTGATTCAATCAACTAATTTGTTGATTGTATTAACTTGATTCTTTAGATATTGAAAATTAAATAAATAACATTATGTTAATTTAAGCGTACAGAAACGTTGCTGTTGTTCCAGCAAAAATCTTATTTTTACTTTACCGAGTGCCTAGTAGGTAATGTGCAGATTACCTAGATAATATGAACATTACCTAGGTAATTTGAGAAATGGAATAATTTTCGCAGCTTTAACGGATCACCCTAGTTAATCTGCAGATTAGCTAGGTAATGTGCACATTAACGGATTTCGAGCTTTAGCAGTAACATACACATTAATGGATTTCAAGCTTTAGCGGTAACATATATAGTAATTTTAAAAATGAGTTTTATTTTTAAATAAATAAATAAATAAAAAACATATTAAGTTATATTGAAAACATTAAAATTTGTTAAATAAAAAGAAATCATATTTCCTGCAAGGAATTCCAATTTTCTCTCTTTTCTTTGAATTTTTGACAGAAATAATACTCTTAACAGATTTTTTTCTATTTTTGATTCTTTCCAACCTGTGGACACTAACAGATCCATTTTTCCAAACCCATCTTGGTTCAGCCAATCCAAAGTAAGGTTTGCTGAATGATAAGAGATGGGACTCAACATATCCAGGACAGACTGCTCCTGAAAAATTATTGGTATTGTTTGCCCAGATTCGATCTCTAATTCCCCAGAGTGGTAGGATGACATCTTTAATGCCATAATAATCCAACCATCTTTATTAATAGACTAATAAAAAGTAATTTAATATTTATCTATTAAAAATATAAGTAATATAGTATTTATAGTACTTATATAATAATATTAATTACTTAGGCCATATCATCTTTCACTAAATTGTACATAGAAAGATTGATTAATTTTATTATACAAATTAAACATATTTTCAATAGACAAAACAATAAAAAAAATCTATTTTTCAGTGGCGTGCCATCTATGCTTTCCCTGTATTTTCTAAAATATATGTACATATTGAGCAAACATTTTCATATTTTAATGTACTTTGAATTAATTAAAATTAATATTTTATTATAACCATATTATGTATCTTATTACAAATTTCTATACATGTGAAAAACAATGATAAAATTGCTATTGTATATTCTAATATAAATTTGTATATGTATATTCCCAATGGAAGCACTGCTATTGTTGAATATGGGACAGCTTCCATGGCGAAAATATCTGAATCGTGTAAAACAGCCAGATTATAGGCATTTGCACATGTGCTTTACAGAGCACCAACCTCACGTGGTTTAGCTTATGGATGCCACACACCAAAATATCGTATAATGATTCCATCTAGGGCTGGCACAGCTTCCCTATCATCAAATGTGACCACACGCCACTGCTACTTTTATACTTTAAAGTACGAGGTACATTCAAATTTTATACCTCCGATTTTTTTTTCTCAGGACTGTAAACAGATAGAAACATGCGGTTTGTTTTAAAATACACATGCACTCATTGTGAATGCATGACAGAGATGGCAGCACTGTACAGCACAGAAGTCTAGCAGCAGTGGCAAGAGCGAGGACTGTTTTTGACACTTAAAATGGTGACATTTTCATTTCAAGAACAGTGTGTAATCATTCGTTTTCTCCATTTGAGTGGTGTAACACTGATTGAAATTCATTGCCAGTTGAGTTGAGTGAGACATGTGGTGATAGTGTCATGGACGTGTCTAATGTGTGTTTGTGGGTACGACAGTTCAAAGAAGGCAGAATGTCGTGTGACAACAAACCAAGACAATCTCGGGCTCACACCAGCCGGTCTGACAACGTGATAGAGCGAGTGGAGAAAGTTGTTTTGGAGGATTGCTGAATGAGTGTGGAACACATTGCCTCCAAATTGTGTGCACAGATCCCATGGAAATGCCAACTCCAAAGTTGGCATTTCCATGGGATCTGTGCACACAATCCTGCATGAAGACCTGAAAAGACCAGCATATTGGGTGAACGCAATGCTGCAGTTTCTTTGTGACAACAACTTTGAAGTGATTTCTCATGCTCCCTACTCACCTGACCTGGCTCCTAGCGACTTTTCGCTGTTTCCAACGACGAAAGAGACTCTCCATGTTCGCACATTCACTAGTCATGCCATTATTGCATCAGCGATTTTCCAGTGGTCAAACCAGACTCCTAAAGAAGTGTTTGCAGCAACCATAGAATCATGGCATCGACATTGTGAAAAATGAGTATAGCTGCAGGAAGATTATGTCAAGAAGTGACACAAGTTTTTGTGTGATTATTTTGTGAGAAAAAAATTGGAGGTGTTATAACTTGAATGCACCACATAAGTTAAAGGATGCTAAACATGTCAGGAAAGTATTTCAGAGGGGCAAGATGGATTTTACAAGTATAAATGTTAGTTTTTCTTTCACCAAAAGTCATAAATTAATTAGACTTCTTACTCTGCAGAGTACAAAGTTTCTACTTAATTTAAGGCTTTTGAAGAGATCTCTCTGCTTGATTAAAAACAATTTTATAAGGTAGAAAGCAAAAAAAATATTTTGAATAATAAAACTTGTAAAAGAAATTACATTTATCAGGTGTTTTCTTAAAATACTGAGAGGTAAAAGTCTTGCCATCAGGATAATGTGGGTCTGGAGGAAGACGAGAATCCAAATAGGTACAGAGAACATGCATTACAATCTAAAACAAAGTAACAAATATTTTAATAACAATGCCATAAAAATAAATTTTTATATTTAATGAATTATTCACAGCACAATCAGTTGGTAAATGGTCACTCCAGGGTTTTCCTTTAAAACTTCCTCCACCATTCCAATGAAATTCACTCATGCATCCACTTCTAGCCAATTCTATAAACACATTAAAAAAACAGTTTATTAAATTAATCAAAAATAATTTTATATATATAGTAGAGTGTTGTTTATCCGAATCAATTGGGAACTGGGGTTGTTCAAATAACTTATTTTTCGGATAACCGATTATGTATGAAAAAATACATTAACCTATCCCGCGTTGAAATTTTTCTCTGTTGCTTGTCGCTTCGTGTTGAATTTTCGTCGATGTTAAACTTAATGTAAACGTTTTAAAATAATAATTGTGGCTATTGTATCATTAAAAATTATTTCTTTATTTTTTACAAACAAAATAAATATATTGAAAAATATAAAAACAAAAAAAAAAAAAAATTAATACTTTAGAAGTTATCTAATATCAAAAACGTTCCATTCACATGACACACAGTCCTCAGAAAAACACCACACAAAAGTGACAGTACTGCCAGCTAAAACACATACACAAACATAAAAAATATTGGAGTAGCCCAAGATATAGCCAAAGATTACAGCGCCACAGCACTAGCGAAAATTTAAATTTGCCGACTGGAATTCTTTCGGATAAACAACGCTTTACTGTATATATAAAAAATGCATACCTTTTAATCTATGAAATAAATATTCTTGATTGCTAGTGATATCTAAATAAGGCAACAAGCCATTCAATGTTGGTAAATGTTGGCTTTTTGTCAGAGCAACTTGACGCAATGTTGTTAGGCTCACCTCTGAAAATAAATTCACTCTGTAACTGCAAGTATCAAATTTTTCAAATTTAAAATAAAATTTTTACCTCCAATTTGCAGTTCTGCTGAACCAAGTCTCCTTAAATCATCATTAATTACTTCAATTTCGCTAATTAGCTTTACCAATATTGTTTGACTAATCCACTGAAATCATAATTAATTTTTATTTATTAAAAAAATAAGTGAAATAACTTCAAAAACAAGAAGTAAAACCATAGCTGCTTTAATAGAGGAAGCAGTTTAATTTCCATTAATTGTTTTTGTGTAACTTATAGCAATATTTTCAAGCAAAGAGAATATAAATATTCTCATCTAGCTTTAGATTACTATGATACTAAAGTAATACAATAGTTTAACAATGAAAAATATGCAAATTGTTTATTGAAAAAGGGCTGCTGATATAATCAAACATTTAATAATCTTCATAAAATAATTTTACTTTTTTATATATAAATTTATTCTATGCATTTACAAAACTATAAATCTTTATGCAAAAAAAAAAAAAAATCATTATGTGCAAGCATTATAAATAATATATAATAAAGTATATTTTGTTTTACAAAGTTAAAAAAAAACATTACATGATTTCAATTAATGTGCAATAAATAACTATGAACCTCATTAGCTTTACAGATTGGAATTACAGATTCATCACACATGATTTTTTATTCAATCAACACAAAATTTCCCAAAATGCATTTCGGCCTGTTCAAAAGCCCTCTTTAGGCAGGTAACATATACATACATACATTTGACACTATAGTATTATAAATAAACATCTATAATAGAATCCGACAAAGTAAAAAATACAATATTCATAAAAACTGACAATTACCATACATTTTTACCATATTCAACGACAATGCAAAACATCCATAAAAATTGATTTCAAATGTATAAAACACCACAACCGTACTCATAAGTCAATTTTATACTTCACATATGTTTAGTTCTTGACTGCGTTTTTATTTTGGTGTATTCTTGACTCCTGTAAATGTAATACACCATTCCCTATCATCAAATGTGACCACACGCCACTGCTACTTTTATACTTTAAAGTACGAGGTACATTCAAATTTTATACCTCCGATTTTTTTTTCTCAGGACTGTAAACAGATAGAAACANATATGTTTAGTTCTTGACTGCGTTTTTATTTTGGTGTATTCTTGACTCCTGTAAATGTAATACACCATTTAATTGAAACCATCATCTTTTTAGTTGAACTGTCTCTTGATCATATTACTTAAGTTATGTACATTTATTTCATTAAACTATATGGAATTAAACATTACAATACTTAAATATAAAATATAATCTAAAATAATATTCAAAAGAGTTACATACATTTTTTTAAGCTGACAAAACATGATTGATAAGGTCAGTCGCATCATCTAACCACATGACTTGTAAAAAGATTAATCCCACCACATGACTATTTATAGGAACATGCTATCTACTGTTTAAATCTTTTTACATGTTTTTTCTTTGACAATCAAGTTGTGCATTTTGAATTCATGCCAAAAGGGACTATGATTGATGCGCAGATTGTCAAACTGTGAAGAAGTTAAGAAAGGTAATTAAAGATGGCCAGCCAGGAAAATTGTCAAAAGGCATTGTGCTTCTGCATGATAATGCTTCATTCAGTAGGCATCATAAAGGCTCTACTGGAAAAATTCAAATGAATTGGGTGATAACATCCTCCCTACAGTTCAGACCATGCACCTTGTGATTTCTGTGTTTGGCCCCATGAAAAATGAGTTTTTGAATTGCTGATACAAGTCTGATAAAAATGTCACAAATATGACGTTGAGAATAGTTATTGCATGCTGGACAGAAATATTCCAAGAAGGAATAGAAAAATTCATGCCACACTCCAATAAATGTTTAAACAAATTTGATGATTATGTCAAAAAGTACTGCTTGGATTGCACATTCATACATAAAAATTTTTGACCCGCATGTTTCACACTTGTATTTTTGGTATGAGTGCAACTTACTTGTTGATTCTCCCTCTTACAACAACAGTTAATTAATCATTTAATAATTAATAAAAATTTATTTAAATAACTCTGATTTAAAATGAAGAATCCAATGGAACTTTCTCCTCTTACAATAAATTGTATACAACATACCTTTCTCAAATTTGCAACCCAGATGGTTAATTGGTCTTCAGAAATCTTCAATTTACTCCACATCTGATTTGCAAAATTACAATAAATTAAAAAAAATTACAAATAAAATCTAAAAACACATTAAATTAATGTATATTTACTCCATCTCCAGATTGAGTTGCCGAAGAATCTGGATCACTATCATGAATGGTAGAAGACTGTGGTGATCGTGTGGCTGGTTGATATTGGTATTTACGTAAAATAGGAGTAAAAGGCATGGAAGAATGTGGATAATTCCAAAATGATGATATATTTCCAGAACTACCTTCTGACTGACCTATTTAAATGAGAAAATAAATTTTAATGTATGTGTGAAATTCCTGCAGTTTTCAACAATGTTTCAATGTCAAATGATCATGGCACAAGGCATGACCAATCTCATTTAAATTTCAACCTTTGTGAAAGATGTTAGAAGGTGGTATTATGGAACCCCAATTACATTTTAGTGAATTGTAAACAAGGTATCATAACTATACCCACATTTTTTGTGCGAAAAGTACTGGTAACTAGTAATCTAAATGTTCCTAATTGGATTTTTCGCTAGTGTAACTATAAGTATGGTTTTTGAAGGCTTTTGTACAAAAAGTCCGAAAGTAGGCTTAGAGAAAATCGGGTGGTAATATGGAACCTTACTGTATATTTTCAAAAAAATGCTTTAATGTAGCCAAAAACAAATAGGAAAGGACAAAAAATGTTAAATAATTACAAAATTATTTACTCCAATGTATTTTATCGCAAAAATGCTTTTATAATAGAAAAATATGACCTCCATCAACAATATATATTCCAGCAGCTCTTTTTCGATATTTTCAGACTTTCTACCTAGTGTCTTTTTCCCAAATTGCTCCGGACGAATGTCTGATTGCAAAGAGAGAGTTCGGAGGAGTTGAGTTCCATATTACTGTAAAAGCACCAAAGGGGTCCGTATTTCACGCATCGCCATCTCGAATTAACTTATGTCTGTCGAGACCAAAATTTAAAAAACGTGAACATCACACAGATTAATATGTACCCCTAAGTCTCTGGAACGGAATACATGCACCAGTGAACCTACAACTACACGATTTATATTTTAAAAATAATTAAATTCACTTAGCATTCAAAACTTGCGAATTTTGAAAAAAACAAATTTGCTGATTAAATACGGACAACCGTTTAACTGAAGTAAAACGGGTTTTCCCCTTGCTATGGATGTCTGCCTAGTTCAGTTCAGCCACATTCCGCTACAGTTCGCCTTTATTATCAGTTCGAAATGGGGTGGTTCCATAATACCCGCAGTGTTCCATAATACCACCTTCTCCTCTACTTCATGTGGATTTGAATAGAGAGTGACTATGGCTGAACAGTTTAATATGGGAAAAAAGATTCATTTATTATTAAATGTATTTACAAATTTCAGTTATGTCTTTCAGAAAGGAAAATAAATAGCCTGACATTAGATATTTTCAATTTATTTTCAGCAATCACAAACAGGTAGTAATCACACTGTAGTATAAACTGCCATCAGGATTTTACTTCTGGAGCATCCAAACAGAATAGAAAGACCAGTCAATTAAAGCATTAACCAAACTCATGTCAAATGATTATCTTAGATGACAAGTAGCCTGAACAAAATACACATTGGATATATTCCAATGTGTATGTACAGTGGGTAATCAGTTAATGAACAAATCTTTTATTTTTCTGACAAACAATTCTTTTATAGTATTCGCGAGAATGTTGGGCAGGCACTCATTAAGTTTTGTGTTGGTTTTTATTTTTGAAAGGTGAGAGTATAATAGCAAAGGTAGAGAGTGTACAGAAGATGTCTGATGTTGCTGGGCAGTATGGCTTGAACAGGTCTAAAATAGGCTGCAGTTCAATCTTATCTAAGAAAGATACAGTGTAATCAAGAAGTCTCAAGCAGCTGAAGGAGTAACAAAAATCTGAGAAATAATGAACATTGAAGAGCTCATAATAAAACCTGAAACTGATCTGACGACAGAAGAACGCCAAGAACTCTTGAATGAAGAACACCAAGAAATTCGGTGAGATATGTTTTCTTCTGAAAAAGAGGATTAATGCCAATATCTGCTATTAAACATCTTTTGAAGTGGAAGGATATCAGAACAACGGTCTTAGAATGGCATCCAAACCAGGTTGAGGTTAATAGGCTTGGGTATCTCTACAATTACAATGCTATTAATTACTTCTGAAAAATTCTGAAGAAGAGAAAAAAGCAATCGCATTAGACAGATTCTTTATCCCCCACAAACGGAAAAAACATGACTAATAAAAATGCAAGACTGTGTATATATGTATTTTTATTACTACATATAAATAAACACAGTAAGATAGTATATATTTTTGTATTTTTTGGGGTCTCTGAAACGAATTAATCAAATTCCCATAAAAACCTATAGTAAATCAATAATCGGTTAATGAACAAAGACTTGGAATGGATTATGTCCATTAACCAATCACCCACTGTATTTTGTTGAGGCTAATGTTAACCATTAGCTGTAACACTACACTTTTTCCATGGCTGTGACAGAATTCACTGTCAAGATCTCAAACAAGCATTGAGATTTTAATCTGACAACTTATCAGTTAATTTATTTAAATACACAAATTATAAATAAAAATCTAAATATATTAATGTATATTAGTAATAAATATGCATGAAACAAAGCTATAATCTAAGACAAGTTAACAGTAACTGTTTGTAAAAAATCAAACTAATTTTTGCCCTGTTAAACAATGATAATTCAATTTTTGCTGTTAAATAAAGCAAAACAACATTAAAAATTTATTTATTGAAGAATAAAAAGTTATACTGTAATAAATGTTCAATTTTGACTAGATTTTCTTTTCCCAGTAAGCAAAGATGGGTTTGACTTTGATTGTAGAGCAATTCAAACATCTGGGACTGTGTTCTGGTCATCATCTCTTGTTTCTGAGAGACACTGTCTAGCCTGTCGCTGATTGGCTAATCATTTGTTTATGACTTGAGAGATCATCGCTTCTCTCAAACGTGATTATGGACAACTTTTTCTCTCATCTCTCAGACGAGTGGATAGTTGTCCTTCAACTGGTCTTTCGTCTTTTGCCTTGATTTTGTTATATCCAATATGGACAACTGGAAGCTACTCACCTCATACAACCATATCAGGAATATTCTCTATCTCAGAAAAGAATATTTTGAGATAGATAATGTTTATGATTTTTTTAAGCAGCTACTTGGAAACACCACTGACTCCATCTTTTTTTAATGATCCTGCATCAATTTCTGAACTATTGAATATGCTATTAACCTTATCTGTCTCTCTAAGTATTTTTTGAAATACTATAGTTCTAGTTTCTCCCTAAGTATGTATGCTTTTCTAACTTAAGTTAATAAAATTTTTTTTTTGTTAAAAGACAATTACTCAAGACATTTTGACATGACGATATTTAAAAACATTACAAAACAAAAAACATCTTTATCAAAATTACATGCTTTATTTGAACATGTACTTTCCTTACCATGTGATCTATAATTTTGTATTCTGCTTTTTCAAAAATTTTACAATTTCATTGGTTAAAATTCTATACTGTGTTGTAAGCACAGATAACCTGAACGTGTTTAATCAACCTAATAGAATTGTGATGTCAACAACAAAGACAAGATCATTATAAACAACCAGAATTGCATCTGTCTCTGAGACGAATCATTTGTCTCTGAAAGAAGAGACAAGAGATAAATGACCAGAATATGACCCCTGGTTTAGTGAACCACTCTACTGTACAGGGATTAAAGTTTAAGAATGCCCACCCTTTAAATCAGTGTTTCTCAATGGGGGTGATATCACCCCATGTGGGCGTTTTTTCCATGTTCAGGGGGCGATTTGTAACAATTTATATTTTTGGGGGCGAAAAACAATTTTCTGGGAGATATAGTAAAATATTATATTAAGAATAATTAGATATTTTATTCATTATATCATGCAATAATTAAACAAATAACATTATACTAGTCAATAGTCTATTCAATGCAGTACGAATTTGGCGTTAGCCTTGGCCCTCGGCATCGGAATTTTGAAGTGAACGGGGCGACGATTCGTTAGAGGTTGAGAAACACTGCTTTAAATGAATGAATGTGGTTCCACACAAATACATGCTAGTTTGCATATTAGGAAGTGCATACAGTGATGTCAAATTTGTCTCCTTTTTTTTAGTTTTTTGCCATCAAAAAAGATTTTCTACTTTTCTAAACAATTTTCAACAGAAAAAAAGTTACAAATTTCTTTTAGCTTTGTTTTGTTTAACCACTCTGATATATTTCTCCACACTTAAACAATGAATACTCTTGCCGCCTCATTGTTTGATTTAAAAATCATTTAGAACATTAATTTGTTTTCATAAATAAATTTAACTTTATTTAGTAAATTAATTCAAAATTTTATCATTTAGAGATTTTGATTGCCTATTAAGCCTTAACTCCTGAAATTATACAACCTTGACTTTGACCCTAAAAAACTGTTAACACAAATTCTTGATAAAGCAAACTAATTACTGTTCCTCTAATAATTCATTTTAATGCAAGTTGACTGTATTAGTTTTAAGCTTGAAATAGTTTGCAAATAAATATGAAAATTAAACAGAGAATTTATAATTTAATTAATAATCCTATTTCTTTTCTATTGCGTCCAATAATTTGAGAATTCGTATTTTTTAGCACTGATGTGATATTTTTGGACTTCTTGTTCATTTACATTAATAGCAATGTCAATAAATTTACCAAAACATTGTATGTATATAGAAGATGAATTAGTTTAAATTCTTATTATACAATGCATTAAATCAGGGGTGTCCAACCTTTTTGTTTCTCTGGGCCACATTGGAAGAAGTCATGGAGTTTTGGGCCACAAGTATAATATATATAGGCTACTTGTGGCCCAAGTATATTTTGGCTCAATCCTTAAATATACTTGTATATTTAAAGATAAACATGTCTAGATTATAGTAATAAGCATTAAAACTTTATTACGAATAAGGATATTTTAAAAAATTACTTCTACAGACATATTCAATTTTTACTTAGAAATAAATAAATTCATTTATTATAAAGGAGACAAACAAAAATTTATTTGAAAAACACAAATATTTGTTTTATTTGGGTCTCTAATTAATAAAAAGTGACGAAACACCATTTTAAAGTGCATTTTTATTCAACTAATATATTTATAAATAATATGTAACCCATAAAGTAGCCAATGCGTCAAATGATATTTTTTACGCCAAACTAATAAAAGGGTAGCCAAATTTTGCACAAAGTAGCCAAATCATGCAACACTGGAAGGAGTACTAAATAAAGCTGGAGTTCGGACTCAAAGGATTATAGACCCAAAGCAAGGAAAGGAGAGAAAGGACCCAAGATAAAGAAGTGAGGAAAGTTTAAAAATTAATGGTCGATATTTGCCTAACAAAAGGTTTATTTAACCTTCCTCACTACTTTTTATCTTTCGGCCTTTCTCTCCTTTCCCCGAATTTGAGTCTATACTCCTTTGAGTCACAACTTCAACTTTATTTAATATACCTTCCTCATTTACACATTTCCAAGTATTTGAAAAAATTTCCTTTCCACTCAAAATTAAAATACGTATAAAGGTTTACGGCTTTGTGAAACGTCTTTTTTGAATTTTTGCCGTTGAAAATAATAAAAAAATCTGTCGGTTTTGTTTACGCATTTATTGGGCCGCATTGGAACTAGCCTTGGGCCGCATGCGGCCCACGGGCTGGACACCCCTGCATTAAATAATGCATTGTATAATAAAAATTTAAACTAATTTTTTTTTAACTTAAAAAATTATGAAATAAAACAATAATATAATTTAACTTACCAGATGATGAAAGTGTAGAATCCCATCTGTTTCTCAATCTGCTATTTTCATTAATTGTATTGTAAGAAGGAAAAGCAGATATATTTGGTGATGTATTCTGAAACTACATAATTTACATTTTTAATGCTATTTAAATTTATATTAAAAACAACAATTTTGACTTACCTAGAAATGTACACATTAAACTGTTAACCATTTTCTTGTTTATATTATGTTTAATTAACATGTTGACTGCCATGAATTATATGTGCAATACAGTAAAACTTCTGAATGAGCCATTTATAACATGGGTGGAATACATAGAAATTTTCTTAAATCAGAATATATAATGTGGATGCAATACATTTAATGTATTATTCTATGGGTTTTAAACCATGTGTCACCTGTGTTTAAGTTCAACTAATGTTTTTGTGGTGCAGAATAATAATTAAATTTGCATTTTAAAAAAATTACTGTGAAGCAATGATGATAATAGCCAATAATCTAAATCAGCAGCCAAAAAGGTGTTTATAGATTTTTTTGATGATAACAGCAATAAATTTTATACAGAATAATTACACAAATACAGAGAAGCAATTAACTTAAAATACAGTAACAATATCATAAGAAATAGACATAGTTCATTGACCAGTAAGATAAAATTGAACCTTTTTTTTATTAAGACCAATCTACAATAAAGTCCAAGAAATTTTCTTATTTCACCAACAGAAATAGCTTTCTATTTAAGATATCTTGATTTTGATTTCATTTGAATCTTATTAATATAGTGATCTGCATATCTGTTTGTTTCATTATTCAAAAATTTCCATCAGAAAGGCATTCAGAAATATCTTCATTATCAGGCAAAAATTTTGGTTCACCAAAATCTTAATCATCTGACCCAAATAGCAAGCTACCAACATTCTTTTCATTTTGCAATTTACATCGTCATCATTTTCAACAGTATCTATTCTACCATCAAACTCAATTAAAAAAAGTTGCCAAATAAACAAAAATTAAATTTTATTTATATTGATATATTTATTTATTATTATAAAATTATTATTATACATAAAAAGTATGAAATAAAAAAAATAGTGAAAAAATAAAAGAGTTCTATTCACAATTTAAATTCATGCAAAAATGAAATGGTGGTGCTGTGGGAAATTTCATCAAAAACAACATGGTAGTCACCATGTTAAAATTTATTAATCCAGTATAGGCAAATAGTCAATAGTTTAAGAATTTAACTAGAATGCTTTTATCTAAATTAAAATCAATTTAACATGTTCACTGCCCCATAGGTTGGGATGTCCCTAGCTACATATCAAAAATATTTATTATGTTTTGTCTATTTATTACATGTATGTTAAAAATGTCAAGAAAATTATATAATATATTCTTAGAAGTGTAAAAAAAATAAAATTTTTTTTTGAAAACAAATAGTAAAATTTTTTAAGTGGAAACAGTAAGCTTTTACAATGCTTATGAGAGGTTTTGACATTTGCAGTGTTGCAGTTTAGACTGTTAGTGAATGCCTTAATTGGACACATCAAATAAATTTTAATCTCACCTGATATGGAGATGGAAAACTGGTATACATCCACGAATTACTTGGAACACTTGCATTTGGACTTGACATCCCACTAAAACAGTCATAATCCATTACTTTACAAACAGAAATGATTCAATTAAAAACTGCACAAATTATTATAAGAAATTGAAATTAATGTACAATATAGCTATCATATAAAAAAAATCAAAGAGCAAATAGTATACAGTGGATGATTGGTTAATGAACATAATCCGTTCCAAGACTTTGTTCACTATCTGAATTGTTCGTTAACCGATTATCAATTTACCATAGGTTTGTATGGGAATTTGATTAATTTGTTCTGGAGACCCCAAAAAATAAAAAATATATACTATCTTACTGTGTTTATTTATATGTAGTAATAAAAATACATATATACACAGTCTTGCATTTTTATTAGTCATGTTTTTTCCGTTTGTGGGGGATAAAGAATCTGTCTAATGCGATTGCTTTTTTCTCTTCTTCAGAATTTTTCAGAAGTAATTAATAGCATTGTAATTGTAGAGATACCCAAGCCTATTAACCTCAACCTGGTTTGGATGCCATTCTAAGACCGTTGTTCTGATATCCTTCCACTTCAAAAGATGTTTAATAGCAGATATTGGCATTAATCCTCTTTTTCAGAAGAAAACATATCTCACCGAATTTCTTGGTGTTCTTCATTCAAGAGTTCTTGGCGTTCTTCTGTCGTCAGATCAGTTTCAGGTTTTATTATGAGCTCTTCAATGTTCATTATTTCTCAGATTTTTATTACTCCTTCAGCTGCTTGAGACTTCTTGATTACACTGTATCTTTCTTAGATAAGATTGAACTGCAGCCTATTTTAGACCTGTTGAAACCATACTGCCCAGCAACATCAAACATCTTCTGTCCACTCTCTACTTTTGCTATTATACTCTCACCTTTCAAAACTAAAACCAACGCAAAACTTAATGAGTGCCCGCCCAACAGTCTCGCGAATACTATAAAAGAATTGTTTGTCAGAAAAATAAAAGGCTGGAATTACAAGGGAGTATTTCAAAGTTCAAGGAATACTATCTGATCAGTATATATCAGGTTGAGCGTCGATGCTGACGTCTCCCGAGCTCCAAAAATTTACCCGAATACAAAGGAAAATCAATCAGTATTTGCTATTTCTGTTGCTTCTTTTTGTGTTTGTTCCGTGAAGTATTCGTTATCCGATCATAAAAATCTTTTGTGAAAGTGTTCGTTATCTGATTTGTTCATTAACCAATCACCCACTGTATATAATTTTGATAGAATTTATAACAAAAAATTCAATTTACAATTTTAATTTCAACAAACTTTTTTTTTTTTTTTCGAACTGTTCAAGGCATCAAATGATAAATTTTTGATGCATCCTATTTTAATGCATATAAAGATATTTTATAAAAAACTTTTATCCAAAAACAGGTTAATCACCCTGAATATTATACATAAAGTTGTGATTTCCCATAGGCTAATGAATTCTCCAAAATGCATGTATGAAGATACCAATATTAAAAGTTACTGGGTATTTTAATTGTAAAACTGTTTTTGCATAGATAAGCAGCTTTTTTATACATTAATTAGAATATTTTAATTGTAAATGACTTCTTTTAAACTTCTCTTTTTCTCTAATAAATAAAAGTGTGCATTACAACTACATTCTAGAACAATTATTATTGATATATGATCTTTCATAATTGGAAATTTGTTACTTTGGGCTAATTTCAATACAAAACGATGGACATATTTTCTGGTAAAGTAACTTTAGTACAGTTAGATAAACAAGTCAATGACCTTGCCCAATTCATTTAAAATGTATGTATCATTGGCTTGTTTATCCAGCTGTATTAAAAAGCCCATTACAAGGCAACAAGTCCACTATCTTTCAAGAAATGTCAATAAATTTGATGATAATTTTATAATAGCAGAAAAATAAAAATCTTCATAAATTGATGTTAAAAAATTTCTTATAAACAGTGGCATGCTGTCCTTGGAAGCAGTGGAAGTGCCGTTTCCCTTGTATTTTCTAAAATATAAATACATATTGTGCAATTATTTTCATATTTTAACATACTTTGAATTAATTAAAAATTAATATTTTAATATAACTACATTATGTATCTTATTACAAATTTCTACGAGGGCTGTTCAAAAAGTTCGCGGCCTTGCCTATATGCAGCGCTGCAATCAATTTAATTTTTGGCGGAAATAATTCAGCCATCCTTGCTAAAAATACGATACCAATTTCCACTTGATTTGTCATAAAGTTTTGTCACGACAGCTTAGCAGATAGTCAATGTGCACATGCTTTGTCAAAAATGGAGAAGACGGAGACTCGTGCGGTCATAAAATACCTGACGAAAATAGGGTTGACCGCATCTCAAATCAAAGCTGACATGGATGAAGTTTTGGGAGAGTCTGCTCCTTCGTAAACCACTGTGAAAAAATGGACAGCCCTTTTTAAATCTGGCAGAGAGAGTGTGAAACATGACCCTCGCAGCGGACGGCCGTCAACTGCTGTCACTGAAAAAAATATCGACAAAGTTTACGATTTGGTGTTAGCAGATCGCCGTTTGAAAACGCGTGAGATAGCTGAGACAACAGGCATCTCTGTCGACCGAGTGCACCACATCCTAACCGAAAATTTGGGTATGACGAAGGTCTCAGCAAGTTGGGTGCCGCATCTGCTGACCGCTGAGCAAAGACGTGTTCGCACTTTGATGTCAAAGAAGTGTTTGGACTTCTACAAGAAAAACCCACGGGATTTCTTGCGTCGGTTTGTGACTACTGACGAAACGTGGATCCATTACTACACTCCTGAAACAAAAGAACAGTCGAAGCAATGGAAACACCACAGTTCGCCACCACCAAAGAAGGCAAAGACAGTTCCATCAGCGGGTAAAGTGATGGCCTCGGTTTTTTGGGATGCTAAAGGCATCATCTTTATTGACTACCTAGAAAGAGGAAAGACCATTAATGCTGTCTATTACTGTGAACTTTTGGAAAAACTGAAGAAAGAAATCGAAGAAAAGAGGCCACACTTGAAGAAGAAAAAAGTTCTGTTCCACCACGATAATGCACCTGCACATTCCGCCAGAATCACTGAACAAAAGATAAACGAACTTCGCTTCCAATTAGTTCCACATCCACCGTACTCACCTGATTTGGCCCCCAGTGACTTCCACCTTTTTCCAAATTTAAAATAATTCTTGGTTGGAAAGAGATTCCACTCAAATGACAAAGTCATCTCTGAGGTAAACGAGTATTTTGCACACCTTGTCAAATCAACCTATTGTAATGGCATAAAAAAGCTAGAACATCACTGGAATAAGTGCATTGCTAACAAAGGAGACTACATTGAAAAATAAAAAAAGTTTTAACATTATTTTGTTTGTTGTTCTATTTGAGGCCGCAAACTTTCCGAACAGCCCTCGTATACTAAATGTGAAAAAAAAAATAAAAAATAAGATTGCTATTGTATATTTGAATATCAGTATTGGAATGGAAACGCTGTATTGTCAAAACTGGGTCAGCTTCCAAGCAGCCAGATTATACACATTTACGCATGCACTTTACAGAGCACCAACCTCACATGGTAGATGCTACACATCAAAATATCATATAATGCTTCCAATGATTCTATCCAGGACCGGTTCTGGGCTGTTAGCTGCCTGCCTGCTAGATATTTGGCCGCCCTCACCCGATTATGTTAATCATGAGTAGATTTATAACTTAACCCAACCGACAGGAATTTACTGATATGTTTTTATGATAATTCTGTATAGTTGACAGGAGTTTAAAAAAATCCATTAAAATATTTGATATATTCATTCTGCTGTTATTCTGCTTTCCCATCTTGTATTACTTATAAATGTTAAACTAGTGATATAACGATTTAGTATGTCCCATCTATAAGGGGATGCAGAAATTAACATGTACAATTCTTGTACAATGTTAAAAAATGAACTGTTACTTTGGCAGCATCATTTACAACTAAATTTAATGAATGAAACACACAAGGAAAAAAAAAAGCTCTAGAATTTATATTCCTTAAATTTACGATTTCTGTATCCGTTGTCATAAAAATTTCTCTGCACTTCTTTCCCAAGACTACAAATATTCAAATACAAAGTAACCAGTTTCAACTTATTTCTACTTAAGTAGTGATTAAATAATTAAGAGGCTAGCTAGGGAATTAGGGACATAAATAAAACCATGCTGAAAGAGCCGGAATTTTACTTAAAGAACTTATCTGAACCAATCTCTAGTTAAGTACAGTGGGGACTGATTTCTTCATAATATTAGATGTAATAAAGACAGAAATTTTTCCAGTTCAATGAGAGTGACTGAAAAGTTGTAAATTTTGGAAATTTCCGTGGATATCTGGTCCTAAAACGAATTAATTAGAAAACAAATGATGGACAATGTACTTAGTATTAAGTTTAACATACAGTAATACCTCGACTTACGTGAACCCGGAGTTATGCGATTTTCAAATCTCGTCAATTCGTCTTCTGTTTTAGCACCATGCAACCCTTGATTACTCACTCCCCCCACACTATTGTTCAGCTTATATATTCGGACGTGTCGTGCGGAATCGACGCATAGCTACAATTTATTTTGTGTTATTTATTTCTGTGTTTGTTATATCTACGGAGACTTGAGAGACTCTATGTGGTGATTTCTTGTAACCGTGAATGAATCAAAAGACGAGATAAGATTAATGATAACATTTATTAGCTTACATATATCCGACTTGGATTTTACACAAATTGCAAAATTATACCCCAACTTTCGCGAATTCGACTTACACAGTTATCTCTCGGTCCCACCTATTGCGTAAATTCGGGGTATTACTGTATTTAGATTTTTACAGCTAGAAACGTTTAAAATTTACAACAACCCTGTCACGTCCTTTGAGGTATACTAGTGATGCGACAAAAGAGGCATTTGACATTGACCAGTATTGGCACCCTTAGGATTTGCCAGCCTGCGTGCATACATGCATGCACTGCACACCTACTAGGACCATCTCTAATTCCATCATTAGCCACTGGTAGGGAG